ATCCAACACAGATCTTGTCACATCAAGTGTGTGGCTATTCACACTTTACCACAGCATTCTGAGCCCACCAACTGGTGTCATTTCAGGCAACCCAGTTGTATCCATTGCCTCATCTTCGGAATGGGGATAAGATGTATGTTTGGCTTCCCTCCTCAAGAGAACCCAGGGGGTGGATGTGATATGAAGATATTTTTGAAAAGAACAAATTGCATACATATAAAGGGAGTATTTTGGGTGGGAAAAGAAAAGTTGGATCAGGGAAACATTTTTCCAATCTGACAAAGTTCTCAGCATTCATCCCCTGCTCTCTGCCTAGCTGAGAGTCAGCTCAGCTGTCTTTGCCTGTAACTATTTTACATGGGTCTGTGTATCAAAATCCATCATCAGATCCCCAGGAAAGGATGGTTGCTTCCTCCTGAGGAATCCTGTGGGCTTCAGGGCTACCCATGTTCTGCACTTGATCCTAGCATCATTTGCCCTGAACAGTATATGAAGTCAACTGCTGGTATCTAAGCCAAGGACCAATTAAAAAATGTTTTCTCAACCACAAAAGTTATCTTCTAATGGAGTAAAACATCTCTAACAGGAAAGCTTTTCTTGCCTGAATTTATGAATCTTCTAGATGAGAACTGTAAGAGCTATTAACTTAGACCAAGGCATCTAATACGGCATCTTAAACTTTAGCTCCAACTTGGTGTGTTTAAAGGGGCATCAAAATCTGGTAGTTAAGTGTAAGTGGATATGAAAATTCAGAGTCAAGCAACAGTGTAGGTAAGCATCACTCCCGGTAATCAGGAAGTAGGTTCTGTGGGTTCCCTGGTATTTTCTTTTTTCTTTTGTGCACTTATCAGTTGTCTGGCTGGCCAAAGTCTTTGCAACTTCATGAATAGTTTTTGAAATACCAGGATTGCTTTAGAAACAGCTGTAAACAAAGCACAGAACTATAGCAATAAGCATGATGGTAGCCCTTCTACTCAATTCTGGCCCAAAATATATGGAAGCTTTCACAGTACTACAGTTTAGATGTTGAATGGCCGCCCCCAAATTCATGTATTAAAGGCTTGATCCCAACCGTGGCACCAGAGGGAGATGGTGAAGATTTTAAGAGGTGGGGCCTAAGTGGAAGATCTTCATAGGTCACCAGGGGCATTCTTAGAAAGGGATTTGGGGACCCCAGCTCCTTCCTCTGTCTCTCTTTAGCTTCCCGGCCATAAGGTCAGCAGTTTTGCTCCATGTGCTCCCACTACAATGTACAGCCTTACCACAGGTCCAAAGCACTGAGGCACAGCTATCAGGGGTGTAACTTCTAAAACTGTAAGCCAAAGTAAGCCCTTTCCCTTTGTCACTCGATTATCTTAGGCATTTTCAAGCTGCCAACCCTCCAGGACAAGATCAGCCTTTTGTATTCTCCAATTCCACCCTCTGCTAGGACACCCTCATAATGCTGAGCCCCTAAACGAACTAAATCACATCATCTCATCTTTAAGGCCCTGCAACTCCTTACAATGCTAATGCGTTAATAATAATTTACTCCACTCTTCTGGCAGTAGCAAAACTGAAGCAATTTGAAATGCCATCAGCAAAAATCATTTATTTCCCATCACAGAGCATCAGAGAAAACAGGGTTTCATTGGCTGGGTCTGCCTTCAATAGCTTTCTGGTTTCAATTAAAACCTCAAGTCTCCAAGGGAAAAACTGGCATTCTGGGAGGCCAGGGCCCAGCCAAGTTTTAGTGTCTCCACAGAACCCAGAAAGCATGTTCCAGCCATCTATTTCTCATCTTCTTCCTTTTGCATAGTATATGGAAGCTTCAGAGCAGACAGTGAAGCACAACTAAAAATAATGACCATATTGGAGCAACTCTTCTCTCCTGGATGTACATTTTCGTGCCAGAGAAGTATCGATTCAGCCCCTAATGGAATTCAAAGTTAAGATAACAGCAGAAAAGGAATAGGGAGCCCAGGGGAAAGTATCTACCTATTTATTTCCTCTTCAGCAAAAGCCAGCCTCCTGCCTCTCCCTGCTGACCATTTCCAACTAAATTCTACAAGGATTCCAAGGGGGGCTTCCTCCCTTTTCCAGCTTAATCTTCGATCAGCTGGTTTACAAAGTAGCTTGCTTAAGCAGTGCAAGTTCAAAACCAGAAGCCCTCAGGACAGGGGCTGTTCCCGTGCCCTCAGGAATATGTCCAGGTTTTCCCTACAAGAAGTCCAGAACTGGGCCTCCCAGCAGAGCTTTCCTATGTAACACTCTGATGTTAACATGCAAAAGATCAGATTACAAGCCTTCGCTGGCCTGGCCCATTCATGAACATATAAGGCAGTTGATATTTTCTCCCAGGCTAAAAGCGGCCCCTTCCTAACAGACACCGCTGCCTCTCAGACAATCCTTCCTCCTCATGTTCACTACAAGCCATCCCCTCCTCCACCTCCAGGGTGTTTATTCCAGTGACACATCTCTTTTCCCTGCTATGAGAGACAGGTCCCTCTCCCTCTTCTGGCTGCCGACTGCCTCTCCTCACCACCTCCCCCAGCTCAACTCAGGTTACCATAGAGGCTACAGTTCCTACAGCCCCACTCTAACACCAATTCAACTTCTGGAGACCTGGGTGTGTTTTTCTTAATGTGGGAGGAGGATCCAGTGTGCAGGAGGAGTACTTGGTTCCCCTATCTTCTGGGGCCACATTCCCTGCAGTCTGCAAATGCTTTATATTCTACTTACTTTCTTCTTCCTCTTCTGACTTGTTTCAAACCCTCTGTCTTAATAGCCTGCTCTGGTAATAGGCAAGGAAATGAAATGCAGGCGAAAACATAACACCTTCAACTTCCACTGAAACCTGGGAATCCTGTGTCAGAGCAACAGAGATCCTGCTCCCTCCTTCCTGAAAGGAGTTTAAGGACTGTGGAAGAAAAAAAAAAAAAATCCAGAGAAAGGGGAGGGAGCCAGCAGGGACTGTAAACTGGCTACATCTTAAAAAGTGCTACAAACTTTCTCCTCCCTCAGAGCACCAGGGCCAGTTGGCCCCGCCCTCCCATCCCAGAAGACAAGCCTAACTGGGGTGCGCAGAGCAAAGTCTTGCTGCCCTGGTCTGGTCTCACCAGGGCTGTAGATGTGACCTGCACAGAGCAACGTTCTTCCTCAGTCATTTTACCCCACCCTCTTTTTTCCCCCCTAAGGCACAGACACACAAGTACACTTTGCAAATGCAGCAGAATTCGGATGAGACAGGTTTACCTGTGTGAGCTACAGGAGAGTGATGGCATGGTGCCCAAACTCCCAGTTTTGATGACAACGACTTTAGAAAAGTTTTCAGTGCAAATTACAGGCAAAGGAGAAAAACGGGACGAAGAATGAAGGAACGAAAAGAAAAAGAAGGGGAAAGAATGGAAGAGAAAAAACAAGTAATCTCGCTATCTCCCCAGAGACCATGGAGTCTAACCAAACTTTACTGGGAAAGATGTGGATAGCGATGAGGCAGGGGACTGAGACCGAAAAGTCCCTGCTGTAGAATCCGCAATAAACTCCCTTTAGGAGAACAGTTTCTGCTGCGTTGAAGAGACACACAAATGGCCCTTTTAGTATTAAACGTCATCCATGAGATTATCAGGACAGTTTATTTGAAACGGAAACAAATCGGAAATCCTTCCCTCAACAGTCCTTTTAGACAGATATACGCGCTGAGAATCCTGCACAGATGCACAGAAAGAATAAAAACAGCACCTGGGCAATAAGAATCCCCCTGCAAGCACACACACCCGGTACCTCTAGCCTCATCTCCTAATTTCAACTGCACAACTTTCCGATCACCAAAGAAAATATTTCCAGTTGGATCCAATTTCAGAATTGTAAGAAGCTTGGGGGGGGGGTGACGGCAGCGTGGAGGGGAGGGGGCTGGAAGAAGACATTTCAGCAGTAACTTATTTTTTTAGAACCAGCATGCTCTACCGATCAGAAATTGCAATTACCCAACAATGCTTCCATCACAAACAGGCACCCCAAACAGCATCACCGTCATCACCATCTTGCTAAAGATCTGCCCAGTCTAGTTTACCTGACTTTGTCTCTGTGGAACTTCTCAGACAGTATTTTGGTCAGAGATAATGGTTGGGAAGACAAAAACAATAAATCGATACAGAAGGGCTTCCTTTCCGGAGTGATTTCCCCCTGGAAACCACCGAACGGGGAAGCCTGCCTTTAATTCCCAAGCCCACTGCTCCTCTTGAAACGCACACAATGCGTGCTTTCAAAGGGGCATTCGTCTGCTTTTAAGGGGATTCCTGTCTCCTCAGAATCCTCAGACCGGAGAACACCAGAAAGACACTCAAAACCATTAAGATTTTTAAGAGAAAGACTAACATACAGCCAGAACACAAGCACACACCAACCTTCGCCGGCTGGACCACTTCTTGCCTGTTCTTCTCTCTATTAAAGACACGTTAGATTCTGATACACCCCCCCATTCCAACTAGGTTACAATGTAGCTCTCTAGCTCCACTTAACCTGCAAGTTACAAAGAGAGAGAGAAAGAGGGAGAAAAAAAATATCCTGCCGCCTTCCCACCCCTTTCCCTCCCCCTCCCCCTCCCGAGTCCACTCCACCAACGCCAAACCCGCCAGCCCCGGCAGCGGCTGCAGGACCGAGGGAGGGTGCAAGAGGCGGGGGCGGGGAGGGGGATCAGATTAGGCGAAACTCAATAAGCTCCCAGCCCTCCAGCCCGACGCTTCCACCATCGCCGCCACCAACCGGCCACTCCGATTGCGCCAGCATCGCTGCCCACCCGCGGGCCGGCCGGACTCGCGCCCATCCCGGCAGCCTCGCGGGGACCGGCATCCCGCCCCCTCGGCCGGGTCTCCCTCTTCCCGCCCGGTGCAAAGTCAAAGCCCCAGCGAGGCGACGTGAACTTTTGCACGCCGGGCACACACACCGCCCCGGCCCGGGCCCGCGGCGCAAGGCTGGGCGGGCGCCTGGGTTCCCGGGCCAAGGTCGCCGCGCGTGCTCACCCTTGTCCCGGCGGCTCCGCTCCGCTCAGATCCCGGCTCCGCTCGCTCGCCCGAGCCCCCAAAGGTGCTGCTGCGGCAACTCCATGGCGATGAGCATC